ATCAGAGAAGCGTAAGGATTCAGATGAAATCGAAATCAAAATCGAAATTGATCCATTGATTTCTGCTGGAGAGATTAGGGCATTCTGCTGGGAGAGATTAGATTAGTGGCATCTGTTTAGAGAGAGAGAGAGAGAGAGGAGAACGAACGATAGGTGATGAGTGAGTAAAAGATTAGGGCATCCTGCATGAGTGAACGAGTGTTTACCTAGGTAGCCAGAGAGAGGGCATTTGAAGGCGCTTTTCAACGCCTTCAAATAGTGAAACGGTTGCCGTTTTAACATTAAACAAAAGACGGTTAAAAAACTCCGTTAAATAATATAAAATGTGAACGTTTTATAAAACGCCGTTAAATAAACGTCGTCAAAACCTATAATCCTGTAGTGAAGGAAAAATTCTGTGCAGAATCATAGATTTTAAAAATCAAGAAAATCATATCAAACGGATGAATTTTGAACTGAAATTTTTACAGTAGATCAATTACATAATTGAATTGCATATCTAAATTTTTTCATAATTTTTGGGACTCAAAATCCATATAAATTGAGGTATTCAAATCTGTCCAGAAACCAGTCCGAAACAGTAAATTCGGAGTGTTTGTTCTCTTGGGTTATAAATCCAAAATTATCAAATTAGTGTCATTAGAACCGGTTTTACGAGATGACTAGTTTCGTATGTTTTTGGCCTTGCATTGATTTCTCGTGTATATTAAGAGAACCGTAATTTCTTTAAAGTGCTGCCAGAAAACAACCTGTTTGGATATAATAAATTGTAGATAATTATTTTGATAAGAAAATCAAGTGAAACCAATTGGGTTTGAAACTTAGGATATATTAGATCATATCTGGAGGTTATTGGAATTTTTTCGAATAGCGTGGAGTGCGTTTTGTAATTTTCAAAGTTAGCGAATAGGTTGAGAAGGCTTGTTTGAAATTCTATTTTATCTTAAAGTCACAATTAATTAAGTTTCGATCGGAACCTATGTCTTGGGTGATTTTGAACCTTGAAGAACATGAACTTAGGTAATATTTAAGAGTAACGGTGAGTTGGGTTGAGCCGTGTTAGTGCGCTTTAAGTTTGAGGTTACTTAGTTTCTATTCTTTAGTATTTTTTTAAATCAGTAGTGACGTGTAGTTTTTATACTTGGTTCAGGGCATTAGTTGGACTTTCATACTTTATTCGAGGATTATATTATTTTGGTTTCAGGTGAGTAGTTTCATGCTACATATTTTTATAAATATTTCCCTACCCTGAACTGTTGGAAAATTAAATTGTTGTTTCAAGACTAAACTGTTTTGATAAATTATTATATTATCAATTTAATCAAATTATTTCTGAAACATGTGTGAACTTGGCATACTGTAAACTATTTGTTTTGGTCTCATGTTTATAATGATGAACTACTATGTTTTGCGAAACTGATGTGTATTGATTATTGGGACCATATGTGTATTGATTATTGAGACCATATGTGTATTTAGTCCAGGAAAATTATTCCACTGTGTGTGGTGACTCTGGCCACTAGGGAATAGATCCGGGTTGGGCCGTGATGACTCTAGTGCTCAACGATTGTAAGGAAAAGACCTATAAAAACAAATTGTGGACCTTTCACTTCAAAACAAAACACCATTAAGGATGGATTTAATTATAATAATGGCATTGCCACATCATTCTCGTCAAGTTTTTTGTATAAATTCTATGTAAGAATAGAATTTTCCAATTATCAATTATGGTGATAATGCTGATAAAATGTTGCCAGTGGGTACCCAGAAAATTATTGGTGTTCATGTTATAATCTGTTTTAAGTGGAAAATGTCGTTTATCATGTTCTTGCAAGACATGGGTATTTTAAGAGTTGAACTGTGGAACTTTCTTTTGAAACAGATTGTATTTACCAAACTGTATGCCAATCTAGTTTCTGTGATATATATCTTATTTTGGAATTGAACCCTGTTTTCAAAACTGTATTTACTATCCATGTTGCTACTCACTGGGCTATCAGCTGACTTAATTGTTTACCATTTCCAGGTGTTAGAAGGACTTAGAGTGGACTCATGGTGTAGCGGGGACTCAATTCCATGGACCTCTAGGGCATTTATTTAATTTGTTTTAGGTTGCTTGTCGAGTTTTGTGCATACATTGTGGTTGAGTTTTATTTAGAATTATTTTATGTTGTGGGCGGTTTGTGTCCCATTTAGTATATATATATTTTTAGGAAGTTGGTTATGACTTGATTTTCAATTGTGGCATGTCACTGGATTGAGTTTTGATTTATTTATTTCTGGGCTATCATCACATTTATTCTTTATGGTTTTTGGTTCATGTTTAGGCTTACGTGTGCCTTGGGCTAAGTCCCTGTGGGCCACGGCCGATCATGCCCGGATTTGGGGTGTGACAAGCACCCAAGGGCAAACCCAAAAATTTAAGTGGCAGTCCATGGATCTTGCAATTCAAAATATCAGCATAGGACACCAAAGTTTCCTCCTCCACTCCAACTCCATACACCACACTCTTATGGAAATTAATTCTCATGCCGGAAAGGATTTCAAAACATCTTAATATCTGCTTTATGAACACTATTTGATCCAAATTTGCCTCACAAAATATTATGGAATCATCTGCAAATTGGAGATGGGAAATCACTATCTCATTTACTCTTACTTTTACCCCCTTAATAATACCTTTCTCATAAGCTCTGCTCATTAAAATATTCAAACCTTCAGTCACTATACTCTATGGTGAAAATTCCTCTGTAGGTGAGCCATTCACTAAAACAAACAATCTTGTTGTAACGACACATTCCTTCATCCAGGATACCCACTCAGAACCAAACCCAAAATTATAAAGCATAGATACCAAGAATTCCCAGTTAATAGAATCATAAACTTTCTCATAATCAAGTTTGATAATAACACATTCCTCGCATATTAAACACACCCAAAGCCTAGCACCAACCAAGACACCAAGTAGTGGTGTTCCCGGAACGTTTTGGTTTGATTTTAAGCAAAATTAAGAAATTTAGGAACCAAATCAAACTTGAAACCGAACCAAAACCAAATCAAAAATAATAGTCAAATTCGGTTCAATTCTATAGCTCTAGGCTAGAAAATTCAATTCAATAAAAAATTGTTTCTACCTATAAAAGTATTCCCAAAAAAAAATAGACAAGCTAACTTAAAAATTTAGCAATACTTTTCCAAACCAACTTTCATAGAATGTGCAAAAACACATCAAATTCTTCCTATTATATATTAAACACTACATAAATGCAACTTTCAATAATATAATAAATGTAAAATCTTAGGAAATTGATATATAAGCCTATGTTTTAAACTTATTTTCTAATCTCAATGATGTGTCAATAAGATGACTGGTTGATGATTAGCGAATAAATGAGAGAAAAATTTTGTTGGAAAGTTTGAGTTTCTAGGCTTATTTTTGGGCAACTTTGAGCTCAAATTGAAGTGGGACCCATGCACCATTTGAGGTGGGTCTAAGTGGTGATGTGTTCTTTGCCACGTGTTGAATCATGCCTTGATGATGGTTCGTCAAAAACATTTCCGAGTGAATGGAAAGTTGACTTCATTTTCAGGTTCGTGAAAATGAAAGTTGGATAGACAAAGTGGGTTTACTCATTAAATGGCTTGTCCCACATTAAAACGAAGAGAGAGTTTATATGAATATATAAACTCTATGTTGGCATACTTGGGATGGGCCCCAAGGGGCACCCCAAGTTTTGTAAGGAGGAAGTTATGGACAACGTAGGTATGACCCAAATCCACCATGTGCACTGCTGGCCGGTTGAGTCCTAACTTTAATTTTTTGGACAAAATTCATATGAATTTTTTTCAAAACTTTTGCAGGAAAAATCAAATTCTGAATTGTTTTGCTTCAAAATTTTGCGGGAAAAAATTTCGGATTTGAATTTTCAAATCCGAACCAGTTCCTTCCAATCGCTTCTCCAGTCACCTCTCTTCACTCCGGCAGTTTTCCGATTCGCACTTGTTTAGAAGGTCTCCAAACCCATCTGAACAGTTACCATGAAGCCTATACATTCAAGCCTCCCTGTCCAACATTTCATTCATTTGTTTTTTGCTTTCTTTCCTTGCATTCTTCTGCATTTTTCCTTCTCTGGTTTTTGCATGACAATGCTACACATTTTGTTAGTCCCAATCTCGTAGTGTTGCTTTGTTGGGTGTAGTCGTTGCATCCTAGGAGGTCGGCATCATTGTTCTCGAGCACCATAGCAAAGACGTAACGATCTTAAGGAGAGTGTGTCCAACACAGGCCTTAACTTTTTCTGTATTTCTGCATTTTCTACATCCTGTAAGTTCTATTCATATTATTTAATTTGATTTATTGTTTGTAGACTTATGCTTGTTATATACTTTTTACAAGAATTTCTTTTCTTATTTGTGGTTTTTGGAAATATTATTCTGTTACAAAATAGTTTTCTGATTTCCAAAAAATAATTTAGACTTTGAAATTATTTTAGACTTTTATTGTATAAGTCATTATCTTATTTTTAAACACAGAGTTCACTAGTTTAATAACAGTTCCTTATTATGGAACAAAGTTCAGTAGATGTTTTATCAACTTATAAAATTCTTAAAATAACAGTTCCTTATTATGGAACAAAAAAATTGTACGAAACAATTGAGATAAGTATTAAGAAATCATTGATATCAATCTATATATATTTTCTAATAACTTGTAAGAAATTTTTTTTTTTTGATCGGCAAAAAAACACTTTATTGATGAATCCCATATACAAACATATGATAGAAAAACATCAATAAAGAGGAGCTTGGAGCTATAATGAGCTCCAACCTCCTAGTTGGTGAGAGACCAACACAAAACAAAGACAAACAACTGAAAGAACACCCAACCAACACAAAAACAAACAAACTGGATTGACAGCGGCACAACCACAAAGCTGAATCACCCTTTCAGATGTTACCAATTTCCAGGAGCAGGAGCAGAGCAAAACCAGAGCTTTCAGATGATTTCCAACCAGCAGCAAAGCAAAAACAAAAGCAGATGAGGAATTCACCATAGAAATTCAGCCCATAAAGCTTCCAGGTTCTGTTCAATCCTACAGCAGCCCAAACATATTCCTTTAAGCTACAGCAGGCCTTCAACCAATCCAAGCACCAAATCAAAACAGATTTATATGTGACAGCACACAGTATGAGCAAGCTTGAACAGAACCCCTTCTAAATCAATTGCACCATAACAGAAACAACATTCAAAAACAGCAGTAGATAGTAAACCCTCAGTGCATGATGCAGAATTTCACATTTTGTAAATTAGACACCAAATCACCAACTGAATAACTCAATGAAGGACTAGAAGCTCTGAACCACAATGCAATCCGTGTTTTGATAAGATCACACAGCTTTTCGAAGTGCAACTGTGCCTTGTTAAAAATAATATCATTCCTCTGCTTCCATAAAGACCAAAGCACTGCCAATGGGATTGACTTCCAAAATGCCTTCAATCTTTTAGTGCATGTAACCCCAGTCCACCATTGAAGAAGACCCACTACTGACCCCGGCTGCACCCAAGATACACCCCACCATCCAAGAATATTAGACCAAACTCTCCAACTGAACATACAGCACAGCAGCACATGGGACGCAGTTTCCCTTTCCTTCATGCAGAAAACACAGTTAAGATCCGAGTTGGCACTAAGGATCCCAATGCTTTGCAAAAAGGTAGAAGTCTTGATCCTCCCTTTCCATGCTAGCCAAGCAAAAAATTGCACTTTCGGAGGTGCAGCATTCTTCCAGATGAGATCCACCACTTTTGTAGGCAGATTAGATGGTAATTCACTCCACTTGTAGACAGACGATACAGTAAAGATACCCGATCTGTCAGCAGCCCAAGACAACTCATCTAGCACACCATTCCTGAGCTCTGGAGCAGTTTGTAGTATCTCCTTCATCCTCCTCAACTCTTCAAGTTCCTATTGAAACAATGCTCTTCTGAAAGACAAATCCCACTCCCATCTCCATTGCTTTCGCTGGTAATCACTGCCACTGATAGACCTTTATGCATAGACAAAGAGTATAGTCTGGGAAATAAATTCTTTAGACAGTCAGTACCAACCCATTGATCCAGCCAAAAGCTTATGAGCCTCCCATCCCCAATATTAATCTTTGAGTTGGCCTTAAATGACTCCAGCAACTCTGGACACTTAATAGCAACCCTCAAAATGTCCCTCCACACCATAGAATATCTGGAAATTGCATCTTGATCTGGCCACCTAGCACCACCAGTCTGTGGGTACTTACTAAGAATCACTTGTTTCCAAATAGAATCAAATTCACTCCTAAACCTCCACCACCATTTGAGAAGAAGGCATTCATTCATGATTCTCACCTTTTTAACACCTAGACCCCCGTTACTTTTGCTTAGAGTAATTTCCTCCCACTTTACCATGTGAATTTTCCTTCTAAGTTCATCGCCCCCCCAGAGAAATCTGGACTGAATTCTATCAATCTCTTTGGCTACCCCTTCAGGCATTCTAAATAAAGATAAATAATACACTGGTAGTGAAGCCAACACAGACTTGATCATTGTCAACCTACCAGCAAAGGAAAGAAGCCTACGCTTCCAAGAAGCAAGTTTTAGTTTGAAATTATCAATGACAGGTTGCCAAGACCTTTTCCTCCTTGGATTAGCCCCTAATGGCATCCCTAAATACTTCAAAGGTAACCTATGATGTAGGCAGTTCAATATGACAGCAAAATCTTTGGTAAGGTCCTCATTAATACCAACACCACACACTACACTCTTGTGATAATTTATCTTCAACCCAGACAAGATTTCAAAACATCTCAATATTCTTTTGATATTAAGCACCTCCTCCCTCTTTGCCTCACAGAACAAAATTGTGTCATCAGCAAATTGTAGGTGAGTGATAGTAAGATCATTTGAACCAACTGAGGCACCCTTGATCAATCCAGCCTGAACAGCTCTTTGTAACAGAATATTAAGACCCTCAGCTACAATATTAAAGAGAAAGGGAGATAAGGGATCACCTTGTCTAAGTCCCCTTTGGGGACTAAATTCAGCTGTAGGTGATCCATTTACCAGAATAGAAATTTTGGCAGTAGATACACATTCCTTCATCCATTTAATCCATTTTGAACCAAAACCAAAGTTTGATAACATGGAGAAGAGGAACTCCCAATTTATTGAATCGTATGCTTTCTCGAAATCGAGCTTTAGGATAAGACCTTTCTTTTGCTTCTTCTTCCAATCATCAACAATCTCATTAGCAACCAGGATACCATCAAGAATACTTCTACCCCCTATAAAAGCTGATTGAGACTCACTAATAATCTTCGGTAAAACCACCTTAAGTCTACTAGATAAGACTTTAGACAACACTTTGTACAATGATCCAATCAGACTGATAGGCCTAAAATCACTGAGAGAAGAGGGATTTTCATTCTTTGGAATCAAGGCTACAAAGGAACTATTAATACCAAGCACCAACTTTGAGTTAGTATGGAACTCACTCATGAACTGCATCACATCCCCTTTAATTATTTTCCAACACTTCTGGAGCATCATAAAATTAAAGCCATCAGGGCCAGGGGCCTTATTCCCATCACAATTCTTGAGAGCTACCACAACTTCAGATTCTGTAAACTCAGCTTCCAACGCAACACGCGCCTCTCCAACCCCAATAGACTTAAATGGACCATATAAACTTGGCCTATCAAACCATGATTCCGAAAACTGACGCTGAAAATGATTGAACACTTCGGTTCTAATTTCCTTAGGATCCTCAGTCAAGGCCCCATTAACCTCAATTGAGCACAGTGCATTCCTATTCCTCCTCGTGGAGGCCATGACATGGAAAAACTTGGTATTTCTATCGCCTTTTAATAACCAGTTAGCTCTGGACTTCTGCAGCCATAACCATTCAACCATTTTACTCAAATTCCATGCTTCACCTTTTAACTCCCTAAGTGTAGATCTCTCTGTATCAGTGAGTAATCTTTGTTCAGCCACCAAATCCAAGACATGTATCTCCTCCTCCAGTTGCTTGAGTTTAGAATCCACCTTGCCAAACACCTCAAGGTTCCATCTTTTCAGCGCTGCTTTAAGTAATCTCAGTTTCCGTAGACATTTGAATCCAGCCCAACCATTTACATGAGATTCAGCCCAAATTTTCTGCACAAAAGTCTTAAACTGCGGATGAAGACACCAGGCATTTAGAAACTTAAATGGCTTTGGACCCCAATCTCTTTCGTCTTCCATCATTAATATAGGACAATGATCCGAGAGCCTTCTTGGTAATCTCCACAATTTAAAATTAAATTTTTGCAACCACTCTGGACTAATTAAAAACCTGTCCAGCCTACTCCATTTGAGACCATTCTGAGAATTACACCAAGTGAACTTTCTCCCCAACATTGGTAAGTCCCACACTTCCAGGTTATCAATTAACTCGTTAAAGTCCTTCATACCACCACTTCTTTGAGAACAGCCCACCCTCTCAGATAATGTCCTAACCTCATTAAAGTCACCACCCAAGCACCAAGGATTAACAAAGCTTCTCTTCAAATTCTTCAAAGTTTCCCATAATCCCTTTCTATTAGCACCATCAGTCGGGCCATAAACATTCACAATAACACAAGCTATACTTGTAAAAAGGGTGCCAGACAAAAGAATAAAATACCTGTTACAACAGCAGTCTAGAAGTTGAAACACTTGTGGATTCCAGACACACAGTAGACCACCAGCTGCACCCTCTGAATCCACAGCCATATAGGCCATCTGTTCCCCAGGCCAACACGATCTGACAAATTCATCAGTTATAGCAGGTCTCTTTGTTTCTTGAAACAGTGCCACATCCACCTTTCTTTCAAATAGAAGTTTTTTGATTTTCCTCCTTTTAATGGACTTGCCTAGCCCTCTAACATTCCAAGATAAGAGCTTCATTAAAACAAATTTACTCACCAAAAACTCCACAGCAGATACAGACTACTCTGCCTTACTACCCTTCTTACCCAGCATCTCCTTATCATTGACTTCCAGTTCCATCAATTTGCTAATTACTTCCTCATCATTCCCTTTACATTTCAGCCCAAGCACCTTCCCTATCTTCAGAGTCGCTTCTGCCTCATTCAAGAGCAGCTGACCAGAACCCGATTTGCTTGCCATGGACAAAGAAATAGCTGCAGCTGCCGACCTAAAAATGGCCCCTTTCCTGAAATTCAAAACTGATCCAACCCCTATTTGTAGGTTTCCTTTTTTCTTCCTATGATATTTCACCAACCCTTTACCTTTCTCTTTTGTAGTAGTTTTCCTTTTTTGATCTCCCACTGCCGTGTTACTTCTTGTTTCACCGAAAGGCTCCTTGTCCACTCTGACAGAAATTGCCTTTCCATTGCTATTTTGGACTGCTTCCTCCCCTGTTAGCAGATCATTTGGGTCACTTAATTCAGAAGATCTATGACCCAGAATGGTACCACATTGTAAGCTATGGGCCTTCCTTAATACCACCTCTATATTAAGCCCAGGTGCATCCTTTTCTGGCCCACTAAGACTCTTCATAAAGCCTGGAGTAATAACATCATCTACTATAATCTGGTTACCTTCATTTTGAATTTGAAAAGGTGTTGGCCTTGATTTGACTGACTGGGACCCGCAAGCTTCAACTCCACCTCTAGGATGCTTCTGCAAGCAGTCCAGCTGACCTATCGACATGATAGTCTCCTCAACCCTAGACATACTTAGCTCCCTCAGTTGTCCATCAGTGGCTGTATAGTCATCATATCCTACCCTTGGCCTCCTTGCCTTCGCATCACCTGTGTTATCCAGCACACTACCAACGTGGCCCTCTACATCAGCTTCATCTTCACCCTCCTTGCTCCCCACAATAGACCTCTGCACTTGATCCTGTTCCTTACCATTTGAAGTTGAATTTTTCGTTTGGGGCTGTTCACCATAACATCTGCATTGCTTGTATATCACCTCTGAAGTCACCCCCTGTTCTTCACAAACCTTGACTGGGAAATCAACGCCTTTGCATCGCAGGATAATAGTTGTGTTTATGGCCTCCATACACCTAGTAGCAATTCTCACCTTACCACTGTGGAAAGACATCATGCTGGATGTGCCCTCATCAATGCCTATGACCTCCCCCCATGTCCTTCCAATGCTTGTAAACGTTTTGCAGCTCCAGAGATTCAGGGGAACACCATAACACGTGAGCCATACAGATCTTTCTTGATCAAGAATCATCCTCTGCTGCCATATCTTGACTGATTCGCTCCATGGCTGAATCCACCCCTCCATTGATTTGAGCTTCTCTTGCATTGTAGCCGCTGATTCAAACGTTAGCACAATATCTCTTCCCCCTCCATCTCTAACGTAAACATTACCCATTCCTCTGTTCTTCAATTCCTCTTTGAACTCCATCGCAAGACTTTGAGGTTTCAATCGGACAATCACACTTTCATACAGCCATCCATTGCCCTCCTCGTAAGCTTGTATGATGATGTTTGAATCTGGTACTAGCCCTGGACCACTCAATATTTGGGCATAAGACTTGCCCCTTTGTAACATATTTGGAGCTCTGCTGTTTATGTCAACATCCTTTCTTCCAACCGATGTGATTACTGGTTTGTGGTTATCCTTTTTTCCTTGAGCAAAGTCTGCTACCTTGACTTTCAAAGCTCTGTTATCACACCAAATGCCATGAGCTTTTTGTACCGCCATACTTGCTGCCACTGGACAAGCGTATTGGACAAACCCAAACCTTGATCGAGTCAGCTTTCTCCTTTTGTTGGGGATGAACACATCCTTCACTATCCCATAATTTGTGAATATGTTATACAGCCCTTTTGGATCCATAGATTCTGGGAGATTATCCACAAAGATCGTATGAATCTCCTTACCCAGATCTGAGTCCCTACCTCCCTT